GCTGGTGCTGGCGGTGGTGCTAGTGATAATCCTGGCGGTGAAGCCGAAGAAGCCGCAGTTCGATCTGGAGCAGGTGGGGGTGCAGTACATGGGCATCACATCCACTCCCCCCTCCACGGCCTCTCTCTCCCTCACCATTCGCCTCCTCTTCGCCGCCACCAACCCCAACAAGGTTGGCATCCGATACGGCCAGTCCAGCTTCACCGTCATGTACCGCGGGATCCCCCTCGGCAAAGCCACCGTCCCCGGGTTCTTCCAACAGCCCCACAGTCACCGCCAGGTCATCGCCACCATCGCCGTCGATCGCGTCAATCTCCTCCAGGCCGACGCCGCCGACTTGATTCGCGACGCCTCCCTCAACGACCGCGTGGACCTCCGCGTCTTGGGCGATGTCTCCGCCAAGATCCGCGTCATGAACTTCGATTCCCCTGGCGTGCAGGTAACACACCCGGTCCCTTCTTCAATTTTCCTCTTTCCCAATTTTGGTTACCTCACATTTTCACTCTTAAACCCTCGTCTTCTTCGCAATTTTCTTTTTCTTTTTCTTTTCAAGTAAAATCGAGGGTTATTATGCTTCTTTTCTCATCTCTACCATGGCAGAGATTGAGAGAGTCAGTGAGAATGTCGTGCCGATGTGGCCGCAACCGCCAATTCCACTACCCTCTGTCCCACTCTACTTTTTCTTTACCTCTTCTTTCTTCTTCTTTTTCCACCGGCTAACGCGCGCCGCTGAGACACTACTGTACCACGTTGTCTGTGTGATAACCTGCGCCGAAAGCTATTTTGTTTTACCTTAAATGATATTAATATTTGAAACATTGTTAATGAGTTTTTTTTATTTGTCTGAATTTTATCCTAAACATCTGTTTCTTACTCCCCTGTCGTCTCCTATCTTACTTTATTTTTTGTTGGTCATATTTTTCTTCTTTTGCATTGCTGGATCACATTCACTCATTTTTGGATACATCTCCAAGGATGTTCCTTTCCACTTTTGTATTTCCACTGCATCCTTTTGGTTTTTCGTTTTTTTATTCCTTCCCAAATATTTAAAGATACCTCTTTTGTATTGTACACATCAAAAGAAAATATTTATTACATTTTTTGTTTCTAAATTAAAAATAACCAGACTTATTTCTTAAAATCGAGTTCGGGGTATCACATTTTCTTATCTAGCCCTTGATTATAGGTTCCTGTCGAGTTTCACGTTCTTCTATGCATTTGTCTGAATAGACATTCCAATAACTCGATTTGTGCAGTTTCTCTGTTTTGTGGGCATAACAACGGTGAAATCCTAAATTTCGAGAAATCCGATAATTTTATAATCTACTAGGAGAATGATGAGAATAAGAAGTATAAAAACTGTGGAATTGGTGGTTTAGACTCAACTTTAGCGAAGAATGAATGATTAGAAAGTGCAAAGAAAATGGTAAAATTTGAAGGCCCCACCAGTGTTGAATCGGGTCGTTGGATTCGTAGTCCAGGCTACCAACTACTACACGACGACAGTGTCAAGCTCAATAATTTTCGTTATGGTGTTTGTCCTCGGTACCCTTTTTCTCTCCCAAAAAAATTTGCAATTTTTTTCTCGAAAAAGAAAACTTAATGGGGTGGAATACTTGTTCTTTCTCTGGGTGATGCAATTAGATGTCAGATTAACTAACTGTGTAAGTTTTGCCATGCTCTGTTTCCACTTTATACTTTAAAGTTGGAATAGACTAAAAACGAAGCTTACAAATGTGAAATGTCAAACGCTACTTTAATTTTCTTTCAAGGCCAGAAAAGTCTTCACCATGTGACTATCCTGTTCCTGCGGTTCGGCACATGGGGTGTGAGTGGGATCATTCTTCTTCTGTGTTCACATTCTGATTTTACTACTGTTGAGTGATGCATTTTTCATTAACCTGTTTAACCTTTAGTAATATATTAACGACAAGAACTGAATGAATTGCACAGGTTTCGGTGGATTGTGCTATTGTGATCAGTCCAAGAAAGCAATCTCTGTCTTACAAGCAGTGTGGATTCGATGGATTGACTGTTTGATAAAATTGTTGTTGGCAGTGTCAATATGCTTTATCTTCCACGCAATTTCTCACCAGATCCTCGTTTCTTCGAGTAATTTAAGGATGAAACGAGGAGGGAAAGGAGTGAGAGAAAATTTGGGTAGGGTGTTAGAGGGAGTTTAATATGATTATTGGAGGGATGGGTCTCCAGAAATTGTTAAACTGCATAGTGGAGGGAACAGGTTTTGGAAAATATATGAAAGTAGAGAGGGCATTTAACATTTTTCTGAGAATTTTGCAGAATTCTTTTGAATAGGTTACTTCACTTAGAAGACAAAAATCTGCGGAACAACGTGTAAACTGTAAAGTAGATCAAATGAGTGGGTGAGGCATCCTTCCTTCCTCATGAGCTTTTGTTAATTTGCTCCTTCTCTCAACTTTTCAACCTTTTTCGCCCTCAGCTTTTTTTTGCTTTTGGAAAGTGCTCATTTCATTAATATTTAAATTCTGTAAGAAGATCTGTTTATATGGCAATTGTTTTTTAATCATTTGGGCTTGAAAATTTAAAGTGAACACCACGAGCCTTTTTGAGGAAACAAAATAATTTTCGTCATGTCTTCCATTCGCGGGTTTGGGGGCACTATGACAATGCGTCAACCTATAAAGCTACTTCTATTTTCGCTAATTTGATAATAATTGTAATTATGACATACTTCTTATAAACAGGTGTTTGCATCACTCACGATTCTTATGTCACTCGGACATCTAGAATATTCCACCACTATTGAAAAATTAATGTTGTCCATTTCATGACTTAATCGAGTTTATAGGTTGATTGCCTTATTTCATCGATTGAGTTAAAAACATTCACTATAAGGACTAAATTATTCACTTAAAATGTTTTATAGTCAAATCAGTGAATTAAAATAATTCTATCCTTCATAAAATATTATTTTGTCCGACATTCTTAATATGTAAATCCAGTTACTTATCTCCAAATTCATCCATGCAATCTAAATCTAAATTATAAAGGGTTTAAAATAAAAATAAATAAAGTGTTTAGGTTAATTAAAGCTCTTGCATTTATCATTACAATTTTCTATTTCTATTAATGTTATATATATATATATATAT